GGGGCTGGCTCTAGAGCTGGCTCCAGGCTCTCTTGAAATTTTTTAGAGAGAGAGCGCTCTAGAGCCAGCCGCTCTCTTGTATGCATACAGCATACGAAGGCACACGAAGTTGGTTCTTTGCCGATGCGACAGCCGAGCCGAGTCGTCGCGACGACTGTATGTGTGCACATGCATACGTTTTTTACAGCGCTGTCGAAATATACCCTTCACTTTATAAGTGTAAGTTAATTTTGCAGGACGCTACCACCCCCAATATTAAAAAACTCATATATGTATTATATGTATATATCCCTCCAATGATAATTTCTTTTCAGATGTTATATTCGATAATAATGATATACATATATAAAAATACATAATATATTTAATACACGAAATTCCATGAATCACATCGGAATAATTGCCATTAGGGTATTCAGGATGCGACGTATTCAACGCCGGTATATAATTTCGTTTCTCAACTCGTAAAAAGGTTTCCGTCTCGAAAATCGTCCGCTTAGCACAAGTACGCACACATACGTACTTGCTGTTCTGTGTGTACTTACACATGCAAGCGGATTCTATTTTTAGATTCGCACGCTCTCAAATTTGTGCGAGCGAGATGGCGCGAATTTCGTCGCTGGCCGCAAAATTGTCTTGCATATGGCAATTGAAATGTATGAGCGTTACGCATCTTATACTTATATTGTCTTTGATCTTCCGGTGTATTTTTCCGAAATTTTGACTTTGAAAACTCAGGAAAGTCGAAAACAAATTATTTCTTAGACTGAATTTTTGGTTTTAGATATTAACATTAAAAATCTATGAACAAACGGCTGGGGTGCAGCCGGTTGATCAAACCTTTAGTGCCACACTTTGTCGTTACAATTTCTAATCATATAAAAATATCGAGTTTAAGATTATTTTATCGATGCTGGAAAATAATAATACCAACATTATTTGAGCCGACGCTAATTCACACAATGCAACGAAAGCTTAACTTCACAGAGCGCGATCGATCCTGAAAAATGTATTTTTTAATAAAGTGCCAAAAGTTCTATGTATTTAGTGACAAAAAAATTAAAAATATAAATAATGCAAAATGTTTGGCTAAATTCAAAAGCGGTTGTTTTGAAGCTGAAATAATTGATTCTTCCCGTAAGTTCATATATTTCATTAAAATTTATACTAAACATTGATTAAAATTAAAAAAAAATTTTTTCAGATAGCGAAAAAACTTTACAAATAAAATGCCGGAAGTTTAATGATGATCTTGGTGAGTTCTTTTAAAAATAAAATATCAAACATTAATATATGTGTACATTGTTATTTCGTTCAAATTTCTTGTCTGTGGGTATAAACATATATGTACAAAGTGACGGGCCCTACAATTAAAAAATCGCGCGTGTTTCTCGTCTGTCTCCGTATAAATATATGCGCACATAGATATTTCGTCCAAATTTCTAGTCTGTGGGTATAAACATATATGTACATAGTGACGGGCCCTACAAATTGAAAAATCGCGCGAGTTTCTCGTCTTTCTCCGTATAAATATATGCGTACATAGTTATTTCGTTCAAATATTTTGTCTGTGGGTATAAACATATATGTACATAGTGACGGACCCTACAATTTCAAAAATCGCGCGAGTTTATCGTCTGTCTGCGCATAAAAATATGCGCACATAGTTATTTCGTTCAAAATTCTTGTCTGTGGGTATAAACATATATGTACATAGTGACGGGCCCTACAAATTGAAAAATCGCGCGTGTTTCTCGTCTGTCTCCGTATAAATATATGCGCACATAGATATTTCGTCCAAATTTCTAGTCTGTGGGTATAAACATATATGTACATAGTGACGGACCCTACAATTTAAAAAATCGCGCGAGTTTCTCGTCTGTCTGCGTATAAATATATGCGTACATAGTTATTTCGTTCAAATTTCTTGTCTGTGGGTATAAACATATATGTACATAGTGACGGGCCCTACAAATTGAAAAATCGCGCGTGTTTCTCGTCTGTCTCCGTATAAATATATGCGCACATAGATATTTCGTCCAAATTTCTAGTCTGTGGGTATAAACATATATGTACATAGTGACGGGCCCTACAAATTGAAAAATCGCGCGTGTTTCTCGTCTGTCTCCGTATAAATATATGCGCACATAGATATTTCGTCCAAATTTCTAGTCTGTGGGTATAAACATATATGTACATAGTGACGGACCCTACAATTTAAAAAATCGCGCGAGTTTCTCGTCTGTCTGCGTATAAATATATGCGTACATAGGTATTTCGTTCAAATTTCTTGTCTGTGGGTATAAACATATATGTACATAGTGACGGGCCCTACAAATTGAAAAATCGCGCGTGTTTCTCGTCTGTCTCCGTATAAATATATGCGCACATAGATATTTCGTCCAAATTTCTAGTCTGTGGGTATAAACATATATGTACATAGTGACGGACCCTACAATTTAAAAAATCGCGCGAGTTTCTCGTCTGTCTGCGCATAAAAATATGCGTACATAGTTATTTCGTTCAAATATTTTGTCTGTCGGTATAAACATATATGTACATAGTGACGGGCCCTACAAATTGAAAAATCGCGCGAGTTTCTCGTCTGTCTGCGCATAAAAATATGCGTACATAGTTATTTCGTTCAAATTTCTTGTCTGTGGGTATAAACATATATGTACATAGTGACGGGCCCTACAAATTGAAAAATCGCGCGAGTTTCTCGTCTGTCTGCGCATAAAAATATGCGTACATAGTTATTTCGTTCAAATTTCTTGTCTGTGGGTATAAACATATATGTACATAGTGACGGGCCCTACAAATTGAAAAATCGCGCGTGTTTCTCGTCTGTCTCCGTATAAATATATGCGCACATAGATATTTCGTCCAAATTTCTAGTCTGTGGGTATAAACATATATGTACATAGTGACGGACCCTACAATTTAAAAAATCGCGCGAGTTTCTCGTCTGTCTGCGCATAAAAATATGCGTACATAGTTATTTCGTTCAAATATTTTGTCTGTGGGTATAAACATATATGTACATAGTGACGGGCCCTACAAATTGAAAAATCGCGCGTGTTTCTCGTCTGTCTCCGTATAAATATATGCGCACATAGATATTTCGTCCAAATTTCTAGTCTGTGGGTATAAACATATATGTACATAGTGACGGGCCCTACAAATTGAAAAATCGCGCGAGTTTCTCGTCTGTCTGCGTATAAATATATGCGTACATAGTTATTTCGTTCAAATTTCTTGTCTGTGGGTATAAACATATATGTACATAGTGACGGGCCCTACAAATTGAAAAATCGCGCGTGTTTCTCGTCTGTCTCCGTATAAATATATGCGCACATAGATATTTCGTCCAAATTTCTAGTCTGTGGGTATAAACATATATGTACATAGTGACGGGCCCTACAAATTGAAAAATCGCGCGTGTTTCTCGTCTGTCTCCGTATAAATATATGCGCACATAGATATTTCGTCCAAATTTCTAGTCTGTGGGTATAAACATATATGTACATAGTGACGGACCCTACAATTTAAAAAATCGCGCCAGTTTCTCGTCTGTCTGCGTATAAATATATGCGTACATAGGTATTTCGTTCAAATTTCTTGTCTGTGGGTATAAACATATATGTACATAGTGACGGGCCCTACAAATTGAAAAATCGCGCGTGTTTCTCGTCTGTCTCCGTATAAATATATGCGCACATAGATATTTCGTCCAAATTTCTAGTCTGTGGGTATAAACATATATGTACATAGTGACGGACCCTACAATTTAAAAAATCGCGCGAGTTTCTCGTCTGTCTGCGCATAAAAATATGCGTACATAGTTATTTCGTTCAAATATTTTGTCTGTGGGTATAAACATATATGTACATAGTGACGGGCCCTACAAATTGAAAATTCGCGCGTGTTTCTCGTCTGTCTCCGTATAAATATATGCGTACATAGGTATTTCGTTCAAATTTCTTGTCTGTGGGTATAAACATATATGTACATAGTGACGGGCCCTACAAATTGAAAAATCGTGCGAGTTTCTCGTCTTTCTCCGTATAAATATATGCGTACATAGGTATTTCGTTCAAATTTCTTGTCTGTGGGTATAAACATATATGTACATAGTGACGGGCCCTACAAATTGAAAAATCGCGCGAGTTTCTCGTCTTTCTCCGTATAAATATATGCGTACATAGTTATTTCGTTCAAATATTTTGTCTGTGGGTATAAACATATATGTACATAGTGACGGACCCTACAATTTAAAAAATCGCGCGAGTTTCTCGTCTGTCTGCGCATAAAAATATGCGTAAATAGTTATTTCGTTCAAATATTTTGTCTGTGGGTATAAACATATATGTACATAGTGACGGGCCCTACAAATTGAAAATTCGCGCGTGTTTCTCGTCTGTCTCCGTATAAATATATGCGCACATAGATATTTCGTCCAAATTTCTAGTCTGTGGATATAAACATATATGTACATAGTGACGGGCCCTACAAATTGAAAAATCGCGCGTGTTTCTCGTCTGTCTCCGTATAAATATATGCGTACAAAGATATTTCGTTCAAATTTCTTGTCTGTGGGTATAAACATATATATGTGTAAATAGTGACGGGCCCTACAAATTGAAGACAAGAAATTTGAACGAAATATCTTTGTACGCATATATTTATACGCAGACAGACGAGAAACTCGCGCGATTTTTCAATTTATAAGCACACCGACAAAAAATTCGCGCGATTTGAAATTAATTATTTGTCATATGTTAAATTTCATCAAAATCGTTTTTGTAACAAAAATAAAAATTTTTTTATAAATTAATTTATAATATTATAATTTTCAGATGCTGTCGAACTGACCGAACAATTTCCAGAAGTGACACGCCCAGACATTATCAAGGTTGAAGCTCTGCTAGGTATTTCACAATTCAAGCCATTTCAAAAATAAAAATTGTAGTAAAACTATGTATAATAATATAAATTTCAGATTCTGTCGAACTGACCGAACAATGTCCTCAAGTTACACGCGGCGGCAGTACCAAAGTTGAAGCTCTGCTAGGTAAGTAACAATTCATGTCATTTAAAATTATGTTCACCTTTTGTGTACATCCTATAAAAAGCAATATTAATATGTCTAGAATTTGTAAACGACAGCTAAATAATGGTTGGATATTTAAAAACAATTTACCAAAAGCAATTTTTGAATGTGCTTGTTACGCTTTAACTACATTGTTTAAGAAACAAGTTTTTAAAAGTGACGTTGAAGTTCATCATCAATCATTATTTAGCTTTCGTTAACAAATTCTAGACTATTTATTATTGCGTGTTCGTATTTTTTAAAACATTTTTTTTTAAGTTTGGTCTTACATTGTTTTTATTTTATACAAATTGTTGGAGACAATTGTATTGACGAGGCATAGTAACTGTTTTAACGTTATCAACGGCTTTGTTTCGAATAAATTTGTTTCATATTTCATTTAAAGCACATCTTATTTGTAAACCCTAAAAAGACACCTGTCATTATTCAGCATTATCGTTTTATACTGAAACTACTGCTCTTGACTTTTTGCATTTGTTTATGAAACTAACTTTAATGGACTGTAAATTTTATTCATTTCAGATAAACGTAATGGAGATCGCACAAAAACCAGAACAGTTGATGTGGCTGGATCGAAAACTATTGTTTCGTTTGTCAAGGATGTCTGTGCTTCGAGTAAGTATACCAGTTCCTTAACTTTCCAACTGCCATATATTTTTTTTACTGATTTTTAAATTTTTATTAATTTTAGATAAACTAAATGAAGACCGTGGAACAGTTGATGTGGCTGGATCGCAAACTGGTTTTTCGTTTGGCAACAGCCTTCCTAATTTTGAAAAGGATGTCGGTGCTTCCAGTAAGTATACCACTTCCTTAACTTGAAAAATGTAATTTTGTACTGATTTTTTAAAATTTTTATTAATTTTAGATAAACTAAATGAAGACCGTGGAACAGTTGATGAGGATGGATCAGAAACTGGTGTTTCGTTTGTCAATGAGAGCACACCTTATTTTAAAAACAATATCGGTATTCAAAGTAAGTGATTTTTTCGTAAATAGTATGAATCTATCAGGTATTTGTTGAATAAACTTGAACTTTTTTTTATAATTACAATATTGAACAAATTTGTGGTTTTTAAGTGTGTCCGAATTGACAGTTTGATAATTTTTATATATATATAGATTCGACGGTACGGTCAAATGACTCATTAAAATCTAATGCCCAGTCTGAAACACTTGTCTCGCTATTCGAGCCCAGTAATTTAAGCCTTAATAGTACAAATGATTTGTCTATATCGTTATCTACTGAGACCCCTGTTTATGATATAAGAAAATTATCAATTCCCATTTCTCAACAAAGAAAGAGCAAGCAACATTTCTGTATGTATTGTAAAAAGCTTCAAACAAAATTTGCAAGACATCTGCAAGTAATTCATAAAAATGAAAAGGAGGTTAAACAAATGTTGCTTTTTCCAAAGCTTCACGCAGAAAGAAAAAAATTGATCGAAAAAATCCGAAAAGCTGGTGACTATCTGCATAACACAGATCAAGCATTCAACAGTGGCACTTTAATATTAACTCGTCAAAAAAGGGCTAATTCGGGAAACACTGCCGAAGATATGGTATGCTGCAAATCATGTCGCGGATTTTTTCCAAAGTCTACCATTCGCTGTCACGCCAAAAACTGTAATCTAAAAACCGCCCGTAATATATTAAGGGATGGCCGCGTTATGACTGGATTTATGCACGAAGCAGCAAATGACATTCTGCGCAAGAAAGTTATGCCAGTGCTAAGAGACGATTTGGTGACGAGAACCATAAAGTACGACCATTTAATTGTTTTATTTGCAAATTCCGAATGCATGAAACATTCAGAGCTACAACATGATATGATACGCGCAAATATACGTTTACTTGGTCGGCTGTTACTTGATATTAAAAGTCAATCAAAAAATGAAGTAAATGAGCTTAAGGAAGTAATGACCCCCAAATATCACGACATCATTGTTAAATGCATCCGTAATGTGGCTAAGTGGGATAATGAACTCATGTTCTTCGGAACGCCCTCGGTGGCGACTAACTTAACGTCTTTAATAAAGAAATGCGCAAAAATATTTCATTCTTTTTGTATAAAAAACCTTGATATGGAAAAGAAACAAATTGTTTCGGATTTTTTAGCACTTTGGGAAATGGAGGTTCACATCGACATCAATAAAAAGGCGATTGAAGACCAGACGAAAAAAAACGGTCGACCAAAATTATGTTGCCTTCTAAAGAAGACATTAAGAAACTTTTCGATCATGTCAATAAAATATCCGAAGAAGCTCTAGCAGTTTTGAAAGTTAAATTCGATTTGGCGAAGTGGTGTTCCTTGGTCCAAAGTACTTTAGTCAGTCTTCAAATTTTTAATCGCCGTCGTGCTGGTGAAATAGAAAGGCTAACGATTGAAAACTACAAAACATCCCATGAAGCAGCTGAGAACATGGACGCGGATATTTTAAAAAAACTATCAACAAAAACACAACAAATTGCAAAAAAATATTCCCGAATCACCATTCGTGGAAAATTAAATAGAACGGTGCCTGTCCTTTTGACACCGTTTGATAAATTCTGCATTGACACTATTTTAAAATATCGCAAGGACGCTGGTGTAAAAAGTACAAATGACTACATTTTCAGTGTGCCACATACTGGTAACTTGGCTAAAAAATATATTCGGGCGTGCCCAATTTTAAAAAAATATTCTGAGGAATGCGGTGCAGTTTGTCCAAAAGCCTTGAGAGGCACAATGCTTCGAAAGCATCTAGCAACGTATACCTCAATGCTGAACGTAGAAGACGTACAAATAGATCGTTTGGCGAACTTTATGGGTCATCATAAAGATATACATAAGGAAATATACCGTGTCCCTGCTACAGTTGCCGAAATTACTGAAGTTTCTCAAATGCTCATGGCTGCTATTAATATTGAAAGTGAGGTAGAAACTGAGCAACAAAGTGAAGGTTTGTGTCTCCCCCTTTCAATGGAAAGGGGCGTATCGTTATTTCTAAATGTGTTTTGTCTTCCCGTGTTTGTCTTACCAGAATCCTTTAAATTTTTGTATGACCTAGACTTAACTTTTCAAATGATCGCATGTTTGATTTATAGTTGCATGAATAAATAGATTTGAGTTTAACCCATACGTGTACTGCTACTTATGCTAACTAAGTATACTTAAAACTATTTCTTTTATTCACAGCTGATAATCAATGTAATGATCCTGAAGCGGAAAATGAAACCGACAGTGAATCATCTCAAACACAAGGTAAAATAGTTTCTACATATTAAAATATCATTTAATACTACTTGGTTACTAATATTTGAATATAAGTATTTTTAAAATCATCAGTACAGCAAAACAGCAATTTATATAAATATCTTATCGAGTTTGCAGGCGACCCTTTTGAGGATTCTGGTTCAGAGTACCAAGAATCGAAGACTGAATCGGAATCAGAAAACGTTATTACACCTATAAAACGTCGCAGTAGTAAGTAAACTGTTACTCTTTTTAAATAGTCATACACTTTATATTGCACTTTTTTTTGCAGGGTCACCATTTGGCAAGACTAGACGTGTACGGTGGACAAATGAGGAAAGATTTGACATCACTTTGGCTCTGGGTGATGTCATGTCTTTAGAAAAGTTACCATCGCTGCAAGAGTGCAACAACATTATAAAGCGGTCTAATTATTTAAAAAGCCGAACACCAGCCCAACTAAAAACATGGATAGACAACCAGAGGAAGGCAGCTGCTCGAAAAGGAGCCAAATAACACGCTGCCAGAATTTAAAATTAAGTCACAAAGAAAAAATGTTCTCCGAGTTATTTTTGCACATTTTAGTTATATTATCTCATGGAAAATATCTATTGCAAATATTTTCGTTGGGATTTTCATATTTGAAAGGAAAAGTTATGTGAAATATTTAACACAATTTATTTGATTTATTGATAAGTTTTGAAATGAAAAATAAACCCTGATTTCTATAAAATTTCCACTGTTGTTTTTATTGCACATTTTATCACCCAAAAGCATTAGGATTTATGTACCATTTGTATTGAACCACTATTTTAGGGACTTGCACTGTGTCCCTAAATAGTGGTTTAATAAAAATGGTATATAAATCCTTATGCTTTGATTTCAGTGTGCAGTGTCCCCAAAATAAACGATAGGTTAATAATTATTTTTAAAAATGTGAAAAGGTGGCAACGCCGAAATTTTGTTCCCCAAAATATGCGTTGAATATAAAACGTTTGTTATACGTATATTCCGCATTATATGCATCAGGTATTCCAAGGACACGGTCCCATTAATATGCGTTTTGTCATATGTCCCCAACATATGCGTCAACTATAAACTTGATCTTAAGCACCGCAAAATTGCTCCAAAAGCTCCAAAATTAAAGAAAGGCCCATTATTTTTCAAAAACACACACAATAAGTGGCTCCAAAAGTCAAAATTTTTGGGTCCCCAACATATGCTCCACACATACATATATACATATATACATATATATATTATTATATACCATATTTCCACTGATTCGACAATAATTTTTTTTTGACTTTTCCTGAGTTTTTAAAGTCAAAATTTCGTAAAAAATACCGCACAAAAATCATAATTTTTTCATTTCAATGCTTTATATTTCCCAGACGGTAAGCTGAAATCACAAAGTGTTTGAGCTCAACTTCTAGCTGTTTTAAATTTCTTTTTAAAATAGCAAAGTTCTTTACAACCAGACGTAAGATACTAGAGTTATGTGAAAAAAACAAGCGCTACCTCTGAAAAAAGCTTAAAAAAAAATACTAGTTTTCAAAAATTCTTTAAAAAAAAGTTCTGCCATAGAAAAAAAAAATATCATCAAACCATTAATAAGCCCCAAATCTTTAAGAAAAAGATGGTTTTGTTCCTTGAGGAAAAATCGTGTCGAGTAGTGTAATTTGTTGAAGGGTAGTTTCATTGCCAACGAAGCTACGGGCTGTTCCCTTTAGCTTTGTCTTTACAATGGCAACGGCTTGACCGTCGTGTACTCCTTTAATGGAGTCGACTAGTGTTAGAGCGTCTAAGAAACTTTGCAAATTTTTTGCCTTTCCGTCAAATTCCGGAATTAATCTACAGGCAGTGTTTAAAAATTCTACCACTGACTGCGCCATTGTATTAGTTTCTGGTGTTCTGTCTGAAGTTCTTGAATTGGTTCTTCTTCTAACATAATGAAAATTATGGGCTTGTTAATGCAGTTTGGGACTGTTATATTTAATGAGTGTTTATCTATTAAACTTTTAAGTTTGGTCAAAATAGGCTTATAAATGTCTACAATTTCATGTTTTTGTGAATTGTCATATATGGGTTCTCCTACATGGATTAATTGTTTTATATTGTTTAACGTTTCTACCAAAATAAATGAGTGCTTATTTATTGTTGTTTTTGAGATATATGTCGTCTTATTGAGACATTTATATGATTTCTCGAAATCCTCCTTGTACTGTAATATTTTCTCTATATGTAATGACCATTCCATTACTACTATTCCATAATTTCTTATTTAATATCCCTAACTAATATTTTGTGCAGGATGTGGCTTCATTTGCACTATAGAAAGTCCTGCAGTAAGGGTACTGCAGTGCTTTTACAATTAAATTAATTTTCTTATAAATTGTGTACTTTGTTACACTGTCGGGTTCCAGTTGTCATCCTTCTCTGTGATTCCAACGATGGTACAAGAGGCGGCCTATATGCCACTCGCACGTTCTTCAGGTTCAATCGGCTTATTTGCAATGCATATAGTAATATTATTACTTTGTATTTGG